TTCTGGGTCCATCCAGAAAGAAACCTGAAACAAACTCGGGGTTCTGGGTCCATCCAGAAAAAACCTGAAACAAACTCGGGGTTCTGGGTCCATCCAGAAAGAAACCTGAAACAAACTCGGGGTTCTGGGTTCATCCAGAAAGAAACCTGAAACAAACTCGGGGTTCTGGGTTCATCCAGAAAGAAACCTGAAACAAACTCGGAGTTCTGGGTCCATCCAGAAAGAAACCTAAAACAAGTAGTAAGCAAAGTACGGCATCTTGTAACAGTTGAGAATCAACAAACACAAAAGTCAGAGGCAAAATCCCTCCATTCAGCTGCTGAATGAAATCGATATATATTCTATTCCATACAAAAACATACAAGTCAAGTTGCCAGAGATAATGCTTATGGATTTCTGTGGGATCAGACTGTTGAAACGGGCACTGAGAAATTGTTGTATCTTTCTATTAAAGAGAGGTAGGAGGGGATTGTTTTGTTTTTAACTATCTTTCGACAGCGCTTTTTGAAATGGAAACTGCGTTGCAGTAACATGGTCAATATGCACGGTCATCAGACAGAATATGACCGGATGTGACAACATGAGGCGCAACAACGTGTTGAAATTCCAAAATCGTTTTAATATAACTTACTCATCCTCTATACAGATGGGGTAAAAAATGCCAATGGCAAAGACCATTAACTAAAGCTACTTTACTTATTCCGCACTTTTTGTTAGGTTATCTTTATCTTACATAAGCTAAATAGTCGGTATAAACATTTCTATAAGTTAAACATATTAGTGGTTTAAATTTTTCAAACTTGTTATTGACATTTGAAACGAGTAATTCTTAAGTGTATCCAGAGTAAATTGGAGAATATTTGTTTTCTGAGTATTTGAAATAATGAATAAACTAAATACCCACAATAAACTTTTTTCTATTATATATATATATATTGAATATTTTAAAAACAAGCTAATTTACATGCTCGTGTATGCAAATCGAAGTATTTAGTTATTTATTTATAATTTTTTTAAATATTATTGAAAATTACTTTAGATGTCTCTGTAACAATGTATCATGGCAGACTCCACGAGTGATAATGAGGAATTGAATGATGAAATTTTGGAAGATTATTATGCTTTTCTCAATGTTTCGAAAGAGGTTTGTTTTTAACGTTATTACCATTAGATTGTATTTGTTTACATTAGGAAGTATTTTTATTTAGCAACTATGTGATACTTAATTTAAAATCGTCATCTCTACGTATACTATAGACTAACAGTAACATTGTTGGCCATTATTTGCCTTGTAATAATCACGAACATTTTCAAAGCTTGTACTAACTTCAATACGGAATAGGCGGCGTTTCAGTTGCTATTTTGAAAATCAAACTTTGTCTTTGCTACAATAATTTTCTGTGCAGATGAATTTTTTTAAATTTTATTTACAGTTATAAATATTTTAATTTGTAGTTTAAATGTTTAGACACAAACAAGACCGTTACGCTATAATTATGCTGTTAATATTATATCCATGTGGTTGGACCTTAATGATAAGTTTCTTACAACAAACAATATATAAATAATATTACAAGATAGTAATATTTAATATCAATAATTCAAGCTGTATTAGATATGGGAGAAAACACTCCTTTGTATCCTAAGCTTTTGTTTCTTAATGGCAAATTTACAAAATGAATAACAAACACAAAATAGAAACATTGGTATTTCATATCTCATTTGCTGAAACAAATTCAAATGTTAGTAGGGTTTTTTGGGGGGTATTACTTTTGTCATGGAAACCTTCACAGTTTTTCTTTATTTTAGAATTTAAATCACGAGGAAAAATTTATCACTTTTCAGTAGAGATCATATCCTTTTTAATCCTTTCTATGATTACTATTAATATAGTATTGCAAGAATATTCTCAACAGCAAACTGAGATCTTAATGTTCATAAGGCAATTATTAAGATACAATGTGTATTTATACAACAAAGTAGAGTTTAAAACGTCTACTGTCTACTCAGTAAATATTGAAAAAAATGGTTGTGGACATTTTGTGAAATTACTCTTGTGAACTTCATTTCAAACAATAAACTTTATATAATTCTGCTTAAGAAACAAACACTAAAAAATGTCATATATTTCAAAATATAAAGTTATTTATCATATACTGAAGATTTTAAGTTATCCTTTAAAATTTTATTTCACTTTAAATATTTCAGCATTAATAATTCCTCCTATATATTTTTTTTTCATACCAATGGTATTTATGGAAAATGTTTAATAATTTTACATTTGTTACATATATATATATATATATATATTTCACATTGTCTACAGTATAAACCAGAAAGTACAATAAACTTTAAATGTAATATTTCAAAGCCTTTTCATATTAAATCCAAAATACCACTGCTGTAATTTAGAAATGTATCATTTTTTGTATGTGAAATTAAAAAATGAGAAGCACCTAAACTTAGGAATTCAGCAAAAAAGTAAATTTAAATATGCAATTTTTTCATTAAGTTTATAAAAGTTTTTGCAAAAGTGTTATAAAGATAAAGATATTTTTTCCAAACATATCTTGCATGATTCAGGATCTCAGATTTTCTGTTTAAGAACTTTTTCCCATAGTTATATTTATGTTACGTTTTGTCGAGGAATCGGGTAAGATTAAAAATATATCTATAGCCTTTTTTTATCTGTTAGTGATAATAATCAGATTTTTGTATAAGGAATGAAGTTATTGTGTTTATGTATAAAATCCTAACGTTATTGGTATAAAATTGAGAATATGTAAAGATATTTCAGGTAAGGGGTACTTCAAAATGAATTGATTGTTTTTAAATTGTATTTAACCCTAAGCCATTATCTTTTATTTCATGGTGTTTATTTACAATGTTTTGGAACATTTTTGTCAGGCCTCTCAGGAAGACATCACAAATGCATACAGACGTATGAGTAAACTTTACCACCCAGACAAACACACTGACCCAATAAGGAAACGAGATGCAGAAACCCTGTTCAACAAGATCAAAAAAGCTCATGAAAGTATGGAGTTTCAGAAATTTTTCTACAAAAAAAGTAATAGAAACACAACTTAGAAATCAATGTTTTCTGAATGTAAAACAAAGCAGGCTAAACTTGTAAAAATCTGAACATTTGTACAAATTTCTTGCGATAAGTCTTTCTGTCTACACAAGATTGATATGAAACTTATCAATAAATTAAAAGTAACAAACCATGTTTTTAGAACTTAATGTACAAAGTTGGTTAGTTTCAAATGTTTGACAAGAATTTGTTTCTGTACTTTAAAGAAAATGATCTAACAAGACTTCTTTACTTTTTTATTATATACATAGATTAGTAAGTGTGAAAACTGTAATGAGAGAAAATTTATCTTAATTCCCACGAAACATGCACATTAAAGATAGAATTTAATAAATGTCACCTTGCAAGTTACTTGTCTATGAAACAGGTAAAGATAAAATGCCTTTTTTTAAAACAATTAAATGTTAATATAAAGGTAAGCTAATATAAACATTTACTTGTACTATACTGGGTGTTACAAAAGTCACTTTCACTGCTTGGATGACTTTGTCCAAGAAGTCAATGGACAGAAATTTGTGAAACTAGATGTGTAGGCCAACTTGACCATGTGGTAAATAATGTTCACAGTTATATGGTGTTATGAATAGGTCATGGTTTTAGCAGTTTAACCATGTGGTAAATAATGTTCACAGTTATATGGTGTTACAAAGAGGTCATGGTTTTAGCAGTTTAACCATGTGGTACATTCTGTACACAGTTATATGGTGTTATGAAGAGGTCATGGTTTTAGCAGTTTAACCATGTGGTAGGCTCTGTACACAGTTATATGGTGTTACAAAGAGGTCATGGTTTTAGCAGTTTAACCATGTGGTACATTCTGTACACAGTTATATGGTGTTACAAAGAGGTCATGGTTTTAGCAGTTTAACCATGTGGTACACTCTGTACACAGTTATATGGTGCTACAAAGAGGTCATGGTTTTAGCAGTTTAACCATGTGGTACACTCTGTACACAGTTATATGGTGTTACGAATAGGTCATGGTTTTAGCAGTTTAACCATGTGGTAGGCTCTGTACACAGTTATTTGGTGTTACGAATAGGTCATGGCCTTAGCATCGTGGTGGATAACTCAAGCCAATAAAGCAGTGCTCTTGCTAGTTTTCAAGCTTATAGAATTTACTGTGTATTTATAGACATATTTGGTCACAAGTCAAAAGAAAGAATTATCTATACAAACTATTAGTTAGGCCTTGCATGGAATACAGCTTTGGTCTCCTTATCTAAGATAGGATATTGACTTACTTGAAAGGGTCCAGAGGAGAGTTACTAAGATTATTCCAGAGATGAAAGGGTTATCTTACAGGGATAGGTTAAGATCTCTTTTCTTTAGACAAGAAGGATGAGAGATTATGTTATTCAAGTTTACAAAGTTATCTGGGGATTTCCATTGTGCTGTACTCTGAAGATAATAGAACAACAGGACACAAGTTCAAGATTTGGAAAAGTTGAAGAGAGTTTTATTTCTCAACCGGGTGCTTGACATATGGAAAGAGTTGTTGTTGTTGTCCCTTTACTAAAGTTTAAGAGGGGATTCAATTATTTTGAAGGACGGGTTTAAGTTTTTCAAGGGTGGGTATTGTTGAAGGACAAATGATCTATTATTATCTGTATGTGTGTATGATATTTATATATTTGCTTTCAGTTCTGATTGACCCTCACAAGAGAGCCATATATGACACACTTGGTTTGAAGGGCCTGGAAACTGATGGATGGGAGGTGAGTAATTATATCAATTCATGTTAACTAGGTAATTATCTGGTGATGGAGGTTTTAAATAGCTATTTTGTCAAAACTTTCAGGTGTACAATGTTTATCTGCACACAATTTTGCACAGAAATGAATTTTTATATTTTAAACGTTTTACAATTTAATAGTATGTAGATAGAATATAGTTAACATTTTTTATACCTTTTCAACCAGCATGATTGTGTAAATGTAATTTTAAAAAACAAAAACTTGTATAGATAAAGCTTTTTGATTAAAATAAGTATTTTATGCTTGTTTGTACTGATTTTTTTATTCTTGCTTATTATAACTATTTACTTTTGATTACTGTTTAAAAATATAATTTGGTTTTAAAATCTTCAATATTTATATTTTGGATTATGTAAATTATCTGATTTTTTAAAAAACTTTTCACTTCTTTTGTTGCTTTTCCAGTAGATTAATATATATTGTTTATCATAATCTTTATTCCAAAGAAATCTTTTAGGAAAGCTTTTATTATAGTTCATATTTCTACAGATTGTCCAAAGGACCAAAACTCCTCAGGAAATAAGGGAAGAATACGAACAGTTAGCTCAGGAAAGAGAAGAAAGACGGCTACAGCAAAGAACTAATCCAAAAGCAAGTAGCCATTATAAGATTATAAAGTAAATCAAAATTGTATATGCTTTTGCATGTAAAATAGTTAAACGTTTTTTACTGAGGCTTAATGGTTAATTGTACAATAACAAGATTAAACATTTTACAGAATATAGGTTCTTAAAAAATATCACTCGTAGATCTGAAAATTTTAGGACATCTGAATCCATAGGTTTAAATATGTTTATCTTTTAATTTTTCTCTTCTATGCTAAAATATGTAACTGCCGTGAAGAAAAGAAATAATTCATGAATGACTAGAGGCCTAACC